AGTTTTGTGTTCCACTTAAACAGCACTGCAGAATTCCCCGCAACCATTTTTACGTTTATATATATATCAGAGACATATTACACGTTGGCAGCATAAAATCCTGCACTTCTGGCATTTAAAACGAAAAAAATTGATTTAGTGGCATACGGAGCAAAGCACAGACAGGTTCAAGCGCTGTCAAAATTGCAGGAGTAAAAGGGGAAAAATGCGAATTAGAAACGGAAAACATGAAATTCAGCTAGAAAACGTGGAAATACTTAAAGATAATTTAGAAAGGTTCGGGCCCTAGACGTGGAACTTCTAAAGTTTTTTGGACAGCATCTGTCAAGTAATGAAGGACGTCATAAAGCGAATAAAAACTGAATCCTAAAAATGATAAATTTAAACAGCAATGCAATAAAAAAGCCTTTTTCACCAGAATGAGCAATTTTGGCTGAAAGTGCCAAATTTGGAACATAATGCTTAATTTTCAGAAAGTAAGGGGTTTTTTCCGGAAGCTGACTGCATACCACTACTGACAAAGATAATGCTCGCAGAGATCATCGGCAGGTTCATTGTAGAAAAAGCAAAAAAAGACTACAAAATTTTCATCATCTGCTTCCTTTCGTGTACAGCAGCTACAAGTCTTCATCATCTGCTTCCTTTCGTGTACAGTAACATGCCAAACCAACCAGGATGGCAAAGAAAAAAAGTGCACAAAATAGAAGCATCCATGTTGCCAGCTGCAACACTTTACGAATTTTTTATTCACAGGGTTTTTAACAAAATTTTGAGTTCGTAAATCTTAAATGGATTTACATCAAGCAAGTTTATTCTCTGTACGGAGGGTGCAAGGCTGTACTGGTCACTCCCCTTTTTACATTCATTCATTGATCTGTCATGCTGCAGTTGAACATGCAAATAAGTAGTCTGCGGATGCTGTAAAGATGCAGACTGTTTATTTGCTTGTTCAACTACAGAGTGACAAAAATCGCATCTTTATAGCACACTTAATTTTATTTCACTTCTCACTTTTTCTTTTACCGCCGGTTCGATACCATTCTTACATTTTATCCTCGATACCGTTCTTGCATTTTATCACCTATTCCCTGTTCTGATTCAGTCGTCTGCTAGAAATGTCTGTACATTCGATGAAGAATATCGAGATATTGATAATTAAATTCGTTTGTTCAATACTTTCTGATCATTCTAGCGATAGATTTTTACATAACTGCTTGATTAATGCTTGTATTTCTCTTACGTTTGAACGGCCCGCTTTGACTACATACCTGGTAATCGCCAAGCTGTTTGTCCAACTGCGCGATTCGATGTAAATTTCCAACATCGACAGCATCCAGATGGCGCGCATACCAGTTCCAGAACACATGACCTTGCCAACGGAATCCCACGTCCATTTCAGGACTGTCCGTTATCGATAAGTAGTTCAACCTGTCAACATCCATTGTTGTCCAATTGAATGCAAATCCGGATGATTCAGGAGTGGGAACTCTGAAAAACTAACGCAGAATAAACCCAGGCTGGAACGCACCGGGCGGGCCCGTGCGATCATGTTTTTTTGCACCGGACTTGAATTACTCA